GCGCTGTTTTAAGCATGCTGCGTGAGTTTCCTTATGTATTCCTCTCAGCAACCCCATTTTACCAATGAGAAAACCAAGGCTTCCATAACTTGCTAGAAGCCACACAGTTAAGTGCACAAGTATCTTAAGAGGGTGCTCCATCACTCCCCCTACCTTCCGACTCCTCTGAAGCCCTGCTCAGCCCTCAGCATGAAGATGAAGTTTGAATGTAGTCATGCAACATCTCTGCCAGCTCAATGTCTGCTTTAAGCATCTCCACCCCTGCCCCCGGAGATACGGGAGCTTCAGTGGGTGGTCTCCTATCCCTATCTCTTGCTTCTACTTAATCATCTTGGGGGCTGTCATTTATTGAGGGGACACATACTATTTGGCCAGATGTCTTACATATAGTGCATGAAACCCTCACACCAGCTCTGGGAGAAGACATCACGGTTCTTCCTTTATAAATGAAGAGGCTGAGGCTCAGAGAGGTTAAGTAACTTGGCCAATATCACCCAGCTGGTGAGCAGAGAGCCAGGAATCAGTTCTAGATTGTCTGACTCCACAGCCCTGCGCTTGCCATCTCTAAGGCAGACTGTCCTCCCCACTGTCCCTTGTCACATCTCCCTGCTTTAGAGTCATCATAGCATTTACCACACTCTGAAGCCATCCTGTCCATCTCAGTTCCTTTTTTGCTCTCCATCTCCCCAGCAATGCTCTTTGAAAGCTGGCCTTTGTTTGCTTTTCATGACAGTATCTCCAGCACCCAGCACAGCGCCCGGCCCAGAAGTATTTATTCTTTGGCAGACTGAATGAAGGGATTATGTCATGGTGCATCTTGACACAGGCCCTGACCTGGTTGTCTTTTGAATGCTGCTACTGGCAGTGACTTCCTAGGATGTGCAGGGTCCCTTGGGGATTCAGGGTCGGAAACACGTTGCAGTCATTCCAGAGGTGAGCAGAGCCAAGGCGAAGCTGACTCGTGAACGAAACCTGGTGAGGGATGATGAGCAAACTGAAATCTAAACCAAGGGGAGCTAGGTATTTTGCTGCTGGCGAGCACTCTTTCCAGAAGGAAATCTATACCTGGAACCAAGTCAGAGACAGGAAGTGGCTCTCAAGTAGGAGTCAGAATAAAAGGGAGCTGGATACTTGTCATGGTTAGTGGATTATCCCGGATAATCTCAGTAGCTAATGTCATCAGTGGGAGATGGAAGCGCTCTCTTTTTTAAATTGAGGTGTAACTTAGATATGGCAAGATCTTAAGCAGATACCTTCTTGTGTTTTTACATTTGCATCCATCCGCCTGTGTTACCACCACTTGGATCAGAACATTTCCATTCTACCAGAAGGGACCCCTCTTCCCCCCAGAAAGTTCTCTTGTGTCCTTCCCAGCAAATAATTCCCCACCCTACCCAAGGCCAATGACTGTTAGACCTCTGTTACCCTAAGATTGGTTTTTCCAGTTTTGAATTTTGAATATGTGAAATCACACACTGTATACTCTTTTGTGTGAGGGTTCTTTCACTCAAATTCAGTCTGTGAACTTCAGTAGTGTGGTGTCTATCTGTCGTGTGTTTTCACTTATGGGTAATATTCCATTGTGTGAAGATACTGGAGCTTATTTACGGACACTACTCTTGATGGACAGATGGGTTGCTTCCTGTTTTTACCTGTTAGGAATAAAGCCACTGTGAATATTCTTGAACTGACTGCTTGGTTGTGATAAGTATTCATTTCTATTGGATTCACACCCAGGAGTGGAGTTGCTGTATCATGGGGTCTCCACTTGTTTGTCTTCAGCAGGTGCTACCCAAATGTCTTCCAGAATGGTTCTACCAGGTAAGGCTTGGACAGTCATAATAGTTAAGATTGTCAAAAGGAGCTGGGTAATCGTAATGATGTCATCTGTGATGCCTACTCACAGCCCCATCTCCAGTGGGGAAACATACTTGTCAGGTGGCCAGAGGCCCCATGTCTGCTGGCTAGGCCCCATCTTCCCTGGCCTGTGCTGGCTGTCTCTGAGAAAGTCCACCTCTACAGCTCTTTTTCGGTATTCCTTATCAGTCACCAAAGCTTGTGTCATTACAACACCGCCTTGCTAGAGGCAAGTCACAGTGTCCAAGATTACAGCTTATCTTCCATTGGAGCCTGTTAAATCGATGTCTTCCTTGTGGAGAGACACCCCGGGCCTCTTGGGCTTATCAGCAGCCGGCATGCACATCATCTCATGGTAGGTTGTGTCTTGATGAGATTTCCTGAGGACCTTGGACACAGATGGCTATCTCTTCCACATATGGTGATGCCCATGCATTTTTATTGTAGGAGGTGACAGCTTCAGGCCCAGTTCCCAGATTCTAGGGTACGTCTTACATAGGGACTATGTGCTGATTCAAAATTCATAGAAAGTATGAGTTGAAAAAGGCCTCAAAGGTCATCTAATCCATTTCTCTCCTATAGGTGGGGAAACTGAGGCCTGAAGAGGTGAACTGGCACAGCTTGTCTCCTGAAAACAGGGCCAGGTTCATTCTTCTGAGGCAGCCAGGAAGATAGGATAGTCACCCGGACATTATGGATTGGTGGCAGCTGCCACTGTTTGCAGAACCTGCTGCTGTTTGCAGAACCTTTCATGGTTAAACATAGCCTGTATCACTCCCAAATTGTGGCCCCACAAGTTTCTTGACCTGCTGTCAGGCTGCCTCTGTGGACCCTACGTCTGTGATTAATGTCTGTCCCATCCATGTTGGTAGAAGGCTTGACTTGCAGCATCTGTAGAACACATCATAGTTCAGATAAATATTTATTTATTTTTTAGTTGGAGTCTCACTCTGTCACCCAGGCTGAAGTGCAATGGCACAGTCATGACTCACTGCAGCTTCAATCTCCTGGGGGCTCAGGCAATCCTTCTGCCTTAGTCTCCCGAGTAGCTGAGACTACAGGTGCACTACCATGCCCGGCTAATTTTTTATTTTGTGTAGAGACAAGGTCACTACTTGCTATGTTTCCCAGGCTGACCTCGAGCTCCTAGGCTCAAGAAATCCTCCTGTCTCAGCCTCCCAAAATGTTGGGATTGCAGGTGTGAGCCACCGTACCCAGCTGCATTTTTCATTTATCCTGGGTTATCATTGCATTCACCACTGTGAGTTCTTAGGGTTGCTAGTGTTCTATTCATTTTAGAAATGAGAAAATAAAGGTCTAAAGATTGATCCAAAGCAGTTTATCCTGAGTGATATATAATTCGGGACTCTGCCTTGTCAGCTAAGCATAGAACCACCCTGTTCTTTGAGACCTAGTTCACAAGCTGCCTCTTTCATGGAATCTTCTGTGGTTCTCCCTCCAGAAGATGGTGATGTCTCTCCTCTGAGCTCTAGAGCCCTCTGTATCTCTCTTATGTTTCTTAGCAGCTTCACAAGGGAACATCCTTGTAAATTAATTCATTCACTGAGTACCTGTAATGTTCAAGGCCTTGTGCTGGGGATACTGAGATAAAATTTGTGGTCTGGTAGGCAGAAAGACAAGAATCTTGATTTTTTTCTTTTTTTGAGTTGGAGTCTCACTCTGTCGCCCAGACTGGAGTGCAGTGGCCGCTCCCGGCCACCACAGCCTTGACCTGCTGGGCTCCGGTGATCCTTCCACCTCAGCCTTCCAAATAGCCTTCCAAGTAGGAATTACAGGCATGCGCCGGCTGATTTTTTGATTTATTGTAGAGATGAGGTCTCGCTGCCCAGGTGGGTCTCGAACCGGAGGGCTCAGGCAATCCATTCACCTCAGCCTCTCAAAGGCGTGAGATTACAGGCTGAGCCACCGAGCCCGGCTAGAATCCTGAATTTAACAGACACATGGGTCTGAAGCTTTGTTGTTTAGGTGAGAGATACACATTCTAGATACATAAAGAAAGAGGGTACCTGTCATGGGATGTTTCCTGGAGGATGCTATACATTTCAGGTACAGGTTTGATCTTACGTCTGTGTGCCGTCTGTATCCCTTGTGTCCCTCATGCTTTGTATCAACTCTCCCACCTCCATTCTCCCCTCTCTCAGCTGTGAGCTCCTTTCTAGAGCTCAAGCATGGGTGGGCTTGAGCCCACGGACAATCAAGCTAGACACTGGGGCAGAGTCTGGGGCCTTGCCAAGTTCAGTCCTTTTCCTGCTTGGCCCATCCAGCCACATCCTAGCTTTGGTCCCCTAACCCCAGTGGGAGCCCAGCCCTGGGCCTGGGAGAGGGGTCAGGGGGGAGCTGCAGTCTTTTAGGAGTCCTCAGGTCCCAATTTCTGTGAGAACATTTATGTCTTGGAGAAGAGGTGGGGACCGATGAGAACAAACGGACAGGCCTTTGAGGAGAGGAGTGTGCAGCCTGGGGGTTGGGGTGTGTGTGTGTCTCAGGTTAGACTCTCTAAAAGCAGACCCTGGGTGGCTGGGGCTGAGGAGTTATGGCTTAGGCAAGCGATTTGCTAAGAAAATGCTCTCGAGAGAAACTGAGGCAAGGAGGGAGGCAACCAGGCCCCCCTCAACCTGTCCCCAGGGGGAGCTGTGGAGCACAAGCAGGCCACAGTCACGCCACCTTGAGTGTGTGTGCCTGTGTTGGGGAGGGAGTAACCTGGGTACTTCTGGCCAAGGAGCTCCTATTGGCTAAGAGCAATTCCCTGGGGAAGGTGAGCTCTGTGAGCCCACAACAGCTGGTGGGGGGGGGACAGGACACGCTAATTGAGTGGTAACCAGTTGATAACCAGTCTGTGTAGATGACAAAGCCTCCACACACATCGGCTCATGGAAAAGCACAGATCTCTTGCAAGGGGTGGGAAGGGGAGAAGGGGTGGGGAAATGTCCCTTCCCCAGTCCCTGGCCCTTCTGGCCTGGGGGCGCTGGGAGGCTTCTTTCCTGGGCTCGGTAGGGCCAAGCCTCTGAGGAATGGCATGGGGAGGCCGGGGCTGACCCTTTCCCCTGAGACACTCAGCAAGGAGCCCCAGACTCCTCTTGGCCTTGGCACCTCTTTTCTAAACCCCCTTTCTCCTCTCCCACCAGCTCCAGCCCAGGCCCAGATTGCACATGCAGGTCAGGCATGTGTAGTGAAAGAGGACAACATCAGCGAGCGCGTCTACACCATCCGGGAGGGGGACACTCTCATGCTGCAGTGCCTTGTCACCGGGCACCCTCGGCCCCAGGTAAGCCCCCAGCCTGGCCTCGCTCGGGCCCCTTCTGCCCTCACTGGCTCTGGGACCAGCACTTGAGAAGAGGCAGCAGGAGATGAGGACTAAAGACAGGAGACCAGGGCTGGGGAAATCACTGGAAAATTTACTCTGTGGGGAAGGGCTGGAGGCTGTGGGCTTAGTCACCTGGAAACATTGACGGCTGAGGGGAAAAATTGAATGCAGTCATTCCGTTCACTCATTCCATGGATCTGTTGAGCGGATATATTCTTAGATGCCCCTTCAGCCAATGCTTGAGGGCAGATCATGAGTCAAGCACCACGCCAGTTACTCTCTCCAGCATCTTCTCTTTGGAGCCTCAACAGCCAGGTGTGAGCCTGGTGTGAGGAAGGCATTAGTGCCCCCATTTCTTAGCTGAGGAAATTGAGGCTCAGGGAGGTTGGGTACACTCCCAAGATCACACGGCTCTTGTGAGGGTGGACGCAGAATTGGAATCCAGAACCAGAGTATCCATCTTTGGGGCTCCGGGAGTTACAAGCAGCACAGAAAACAATCTCTACTTCAAAAGGCTTCTGGCAGGCAAACTCCACACTCCTAGCTTCAGAGACCCAAAGCCATGAGAGAGGAACAGAAAACAAGGATCTGGAAATGCCAGATTAATTCTGTCATAGACCAAGTATGGCTCAGGCTGGAGGCGTTGTCTGGTTATCACTGAGGATGGAAAGAGGAGGTGGGCTGGAGGATGGGTGGAATTTGCTGGTGAGCTGCTGTGACTGCTCACAGCAGCAGAAAAGGTGACAGTTGGACCCTAGGAGGGACAGTAGAACACAAAATCCCCTTTTTATGGATAATCTTGGGAACAGATATAGCATTAGTAGGTTTGGTTTTGAGACAAGCAAATGGACCAGGAAACCCCCGAAGACTCTTTCGCCTATAACTATGGTCACTGGTTGTACCTTCTCAAAGCCTTGTTTAGAAGAGAAAACATTGCTGCCGGATTGGGGTTGGTGTTGGTGTCAAGTGTGACTATTAGCATGGGGATGGTCTTCCCTAAAAGCCAGCAAGGCAGCTGGGCCCTCTCTCCCCAATGCTGCTGTGGCCATCTGTGTGTCCCCTCATGTGTCCCATGAATGAGTCATCTGTGGCTGCAGCTATGTGTACATACACCTGTTTTTCTATCTCCATCAGTGGTTTTGTTCATTCTACCACCCAGACTCAAATCCTTGGGCTCATATTTGACTCTGTCCCATCTCATTCTTCACAGCTAGTCAGACTTTGAGGCCTTTCTTGTATGGCTCTGTTCCCTTCTAGTCCTTATTACCCATGTAGGTCAGGCTTTCAGTCCTGTCCCTTGGACCATGGCAGCAGGCTTTAAACTGATTTCCTAGTCTCCAGCCTCACCCCCTCTAATCCATCTCTGCACTCTGCTGCCAGATTGATAACCCTCACACCTGCTGCATCGAATCACTCCCCTGCTCAGCAACCTTCAATGGCTCCCTATTACTTACCAGGCCCACTCAAGCTCCTAGGGATGGACTTGAAGACCTTCCCCAATCTGGCCCCACCTGCCTCTCTTGTCTGATCTCCCACTCACTGCATGCTCCAGTCAGACTTGTCTCCCCATCATTCCCCAAGTATACTCTGTTCACTCCTGCTTTAGCTACAGATGCTTGTCTCTCCCAAAATGCCTTTCTAATTTCTTCTTTGCTCCTTTTGTTACAATAAATATTTATTGAGCACCTGCTATGTGCCAAGCACAGTGATGGTCCGAGGATGCAGCTGTGGTTCTTGTTTTCATGGAGCATCCGGTCTAGTAGTGGAGAAGGGGAAGGGTCACCTTGAGACCTGCTTTGTGATCAGGATGGGGGACTAAGTGGACATGGAATTCCTCACTCCAAACAAGTAGCAAGGGGAGTATCTGGGGACCAGAAATGCAGATGACATCTATAGTGATGGCAGTGAGCAGAAGTGGAAAAACCTGGTCTGTGGAGAGACCTGGACGGCATACACACCTCAGGGACAATTGTATGAATGCACATGTGGGGGGTATGAGTTGAGACCACAGGAAGATCCATAGCTGGGAGCTGGAGCTGGGCTCTGCTAAAGCTGGAAACTCAACAAGAGTGGCACCATCTATGAATGAGGACCAGAAGAATTCTGTCCCACAACCCAGAGTCACAGCCCAGAACAGATTCTCTGCTTCAGGATGTGGGCACAGAGTCACTATGAGACAGCATAACCCCAGGCCTGTCTGTGTCTTGCATATCCAAATGGCGAGGAAATCCTAGCCTGATAAACAAATATAAAAACTGGCTGGAACCTAGAAACCCATTATCTTGGGTATAGACAACCATAAAACTACATTACAGTCAGGCCTGGAGAGGCCCAAGTCAGACTTCTCGGGAAGATAATCCCACTGAATACTAGCCTGTGGAGTAAAAATTTTAAGCACAGTTAAAAAACATTTGATAATACAGTGCCAGAAGAGTCAGACGCAACAAGTTGGACAATTAACATCTGAGGAGCTGGAGAAAATAAAGCAATCTGAGAGTATCTTCAAAATAAAAATGTTTAAAATACTGGAAGAGATGATGGAAAGAACAGAATCCACAAAACAGGAGATGGTAAAACCTGATCTGTCAGATATGGAAAAAGGCAAATAGAAATCCTAGAAATAAAAATAATAGTCTTATTTATTTATTTATTTTTTGAGTCAGGATCTCACTCTGTCACCCAGGCTGGAGTGCAGTGGCATGATCATCAGGATCATGGCTCATGGCAGCCTCGACCTTCTGGGTTCAGGAAATCTTTCCACCTCAGCACCCCAAGTAGCTGGGACTATAGGCATGTGCCACTATACCTGGCTGGTTTTTTGTTTTTTTTTTTGAGTTGCAGTCTCACTTGTTGTCCAGGTTGGAGTGCAGTGGCACGCTCACAGCCACCACAGCCTCGACCTACTGTGCTCAGGCGATCCTTCCACCTCAGTCTTCCAAGTAGCTGGAACTACAGGCATTCATCACCATGCCTGGCTAATTTTTTGATTTATTGTAGAGGTGAGGTCTCACCAAGTTGCCCAGGCTGTTCTCAAACCTGTGGGCTCACAAAGTCCTCTCACCTTGGCCTCCCAAAGTGCTGGGATTATAGGCGTGAGCCACATGTCCAGCCATGGCCCTGGCTAATTTTTAAAACAAGATTTTGCTATGTTGCCCAGGCTTGTCTTGAACTCCTGGGCTCAAGCAATCTATCTATCTTGGCCTCCCAAAGTGTTGGGATTACAGACGTGAACCACCGTGTCTGGCCAAAAAATAATACAGCCTTTAAAAATTTTTAGCCTTGGGGGTGGGGGAGGTGGGAAAAAAATTTTAGCCTTAATACACTAGAGATAGCTGAAGAGAAAATTAGTGAATTGGATGATAGATCTGAGGAAATCAGTCACAATGCAGTCTATCTGGAGAAGACAAAGAGAGAAAATGTGAAAAAGAAGTTGAGAGATGTGGAGGATAAAATGAGAAGCTACAATACATACATAAATTTAGGCATTCTAGAAGGAAAGAATAGAAAACATAGAGAGAAGGCAATATTTAAAGAGATGAGGACTGAGAATTTTGTAGAATTGAAGAAAGGTAGGAACTCTCAGATGGGATAAAGCAAACCAAGTCTTGAACAGTATGTAAACAAACTCCACCTAGCCAAATCATGGTAAACCGTAAAACATAAAGTACAAAAAGAAGAAATATTTTCATGGCTCTGTTATCTTTCCAAAGCACCATCTAATCTAAGTATGGATTGCCTGAAACTGTCTTTAGCCTTCTCCATGCTTTATAACTCCTAAGTCCATGGGGGTAGAGTCAAGGCGGGAGGGGATGAGAATAACAACACTGTGGCCTATGGCAGCCCCTCCCTGCATGATAAAGTTGTCCTTTCATTCACTTGTCTACCAACTTGTTTTTATGACTTCTAGCCTGACTATTCAGGGTCCTTGCCCTGTCTCTGTAATAAGCAATCCTCCTGGAAGATCCTACCCCATACCCCCACTCCTTAGACTTAATTATCCGGAACTAATCTCTTTTTCTTAAAACTCTGGCTCCTTGAATAGAAGGCTAAAGTTTCTCATGCTATCCTTGATATTTTTCTGTAATCTAAGGCAATATTAATACTAACAGAAATTTGTTGAATGACTAATGTATACTTAGGTGCTTTGTATACTTTCTTTCTAAACCTCATGATAACCTTGCAAAGTGGGTATTATGCTACATTAGTACTGTAGCATAACAAATAATCCAAAACTCAGGAGTTTAAAACAACAAACACTGTCTCACAGTTCCTATGGGACAGGAATCTGGGAGCAGCTTGGCTGGCTGGTTTTGGCTGAGGGTTCCTCACAAGGCCAAGATCCAGGTGTCAGCCAGAAGTGCAGTCATTTGAGGATAACGAAAGCTGGAGGATCCACTTCCAGACTAACTCACATAACTGTTGGCCTGAGGCTTCAATTCCGCTCAAGTGGGCCTCTCCATAGGACGCCTCAGAACATGATAACTGGCTTTCCCCAGAGAGTGACCAAGATGGAAATCAGCCTTTTTCAACACAATCTTGGAAGTGACATACTGTCACTCCTGATGGGCTCTAACCCTACTACAAAGTGGGTGGGACTACAGAAGGGTGTGAAAACTAGGAGGCCATCTTGGAGACTGGCTACCACATAGGCCCCTTTCACAGAAGAGAAAAGGAAGCTGAGAGATGAGTAACCTGCCCATGGCCACTAAGCTAGTAAGTGGAATAATAGGGAAAAAATTTATTACATTCTGGCATAATGGACACTGGAGATGGAGGGACAGAAAATCACTCATCGGTACAATGTACGTAGGTGGGGATGGTGGGTACACTGAAAGCCCAGGCCAAAAACTATTTGTACCCCCCAAAGCAATTGAAATTAAAATCATATATTTTTAAAACTTGAAAAAAATGTTATTAAAGTCTTAGTCTTCCAGGCACTAAGTATATACTCACTTAATTCTACTAGTAATCTTAGGAAGGGAGTAACCGCCATATTACACCTCTACAATAAATCAAATTGAGGACTAACCAATAGAGTTCCCTTGTCTTAAGTGAGGAAGGCCCGAGAGGTTCGGTAACTTGCCCTGTAAAGCCCGGGCTCTTAACCACAGCGCCTGATTTCAAACCTCTTCCCTGCGACCCCGGATGCCCCAGCTCTTGACTCTGCCTTCTTGCTGTTTGGGTTCGTCTCCCGGGCCTGCGCGTGCCCCACGTGCGCGTGCGAAGAGCATAGTGGCGGGGAGGGGGCACTGTTGCTCACCCCTGGGGCCCCCTCGCGGTGGAGTCTGACTCCGCCCCGCGGCCCGCCCAGGTGCGCTGGACCAAGACCGCGGGGAGCGCGTCGGACAAGTTCCAGGAGACGTCGGTGTTCAATGAGACGCTGCGCATCGAGCGCATCGCGCGCACGCAGGGCGGCCGCTACTACTGCAAGGCGGAGAACGGCGTGGGCGTGCCGGCCATCAAGTCCATCCGCGTGGACGTGCAGTGTGAGTCGAGCCCCTCTCCCGCCCTGGGCCCTGCAGTTCCGTCCTGGCCAGGGGGCGTCTGAGGGCTCAGGTGGGAAACGGGGGATGAAGGGTGTGAAAGGCACCCATGTGGACCTTGTGACAGCCATGTAAAGTGGGCCGGGAAGGCAGGATGGGTTGGCTCATACCCCATCCACAGATGAGAAAACTGAGGTACCATGTGATTTGTTCACAGTCATAGTGCAGGGCAGCTCCAGATCTGAGATGAGAACGCAGATCCCTTTTCTGTGGTCCAGTGCCCTTACCACAGTACCTCATGTCTCTGCTTTTGTCACAGGGGCTGCCCTAAGACTTCCTTCCCCTCCTACAGGTGGGACCAAGTACCCCCCCTTCCCAGTCCTTGCTGCAGATTTGAATGGGAAGCCCCCAGCCCCTACCTGCTCTCCATGGATATCTGTTTAATGTCCAGTACCTTTCTTCCTGCTTGCCACCCAACCAGGCTGTCACAGGTGCCTAGAAGTTGTAGATCCAAGCTGTAGGTCAGGCCTGTCTGGCACCATCTTGACGTCTACAGTGAACCTACCTGTTAATTATGTACCCTCCCAGCCCTCAAGTGGGACTCCAGACCTCTCTTCAACTGCTGACCCCTGGGGCCGAGAGTCGTTTCTCAGGTCGTTAGAAGGGGCTGGCAGGCATAGCCTAGGCCTTGCCGATGTCCACTTCTCACTCATGGCCTTGGCTATGACTTTTATCCAAGTGGGTTGTGGAAAGAGAATAGAATGATCAGATGCTGGAACAGCCACTGCAGGATGTTGGAACGTGGACTGTTGGTGCCTGTGGTTCACAACCCTGGTTGGACATTAGAATTTCTAGGACATCCGTTAAAAAATACTAATGACTGGGCCCCACTTCCAGAGATTCCAATGTAATTTATTGATAATTTGCTATTAGGATTTAAAAATAAGCTTTTTTCATTCATTTTTTTAAAAATTGAGGACTAACCAATAGAGTTCCCTTGTCTTAAGTGTAGAGTTTAGTGATTTCTTACATACGTAAACACCATCCAGTTCAAAATATAGAACATTTCTAGGACTCTAGAAAGTTCCTTCATACTCCCTCCCAGTCAGTAATCCCCCCAGAGGCAATCACTATCTGACTTTTGACACCATCGGTGGGTTCTGCCAGACACAAGCATTAAGAAGAAAGTCATCACGTGATTCATTTATCCAAACAGGGCCAAGAACCACCAATGTACTCTAGTTGACCAGTGAGGAAACAGGCCTAGAGAGAGAAGGGACTTAGGCAGTTCGCACTACAAATTAGCAGCTAAACTAGGATTTGAACCAAAGTTTTCTGACTTACAATCTGCAGCTGCTTTGTCCATCCCACAACGGGAGAGTGGAAAGCTAGACACCCTCATGCAGATCCCTGGGAGGCATAGCTGGAAGGGAGTCTGGAGAGCCATCAAGTCAAGTCACCTGCCTCTCATAGGCTGACTGGTCAAACTTGCAGGGCTGGGAGAGCATCTGGCTCTCTGGAAATTCCCCTAAGGGTGGCTCAGCTTTTCCTGAGGACTGCCAGGAGCCTGAGCCACCACCTTGGGGTCACCGAGGCATCCTGACTCCATGGGGAGGGGATGCTGTGCCCTTGCAGATCTGGACGAGCCGGTGCTGACGGTGCACCAGACGGTGAGCGACGTGCGAGGCAACTTCTACCAGGAGAAGACGGTGTTCCTGCGCTGCACTGTTAACTCCAACCCGCCTGCCCGCTTCATCTGGAAGCGGGGCTCTGACACCCTGTCCCACAGCCAGGACAACGGGGTCGACATCTATGAGCCCCTCTACACCCAGGTCAGGACCACACTCTTCTCCTGCAGCCAGTGAGGGAGGGGGACACGGGGCTGAGTTCTTGGGACTGGCCCGACTACAGCAGTTCTGTTCTGTCGTGGAGAGAACACATTCTGATTGTAGCTCAGTCAGCCTGGACCAGAAAGATCAGGGAGCTGTGATGAGGACAGGAGAGTCCCCAGGGCAACGTGTCCTCCAGTTACATTGCTAGTTAGTAAAAGGCATCCCCTAGGGGCAGGCAAGTCATCCTGGTCCACTGCTGGCTGGCAAGGTACTGGGGACCCACAGGCAGGCACAGCAGGGGTTGGGGGCAGTGAGATGAGTCCTATTCCCATGGGCCCCTTGCAGTTCCAGGAGATGGAGATGACACCATCATGTCCAGGAGGGCTTTCAGGAGTGGCTGTCAGAGCCCCACTGTGGGCCAGCCCCAAGTCCGTGTTGTTGTAAGATGGAACAGGATTCCCTTCTGATCCCTCCCTTTCCCCAAGTGGGAAAACTGAAGTTTGGTCCTGGCCAGCATGCACCAGGGCAACCTCAGACCCAAAGAAGTCCATGACGAGGCACGACCAAAAGTATGGAGAGTGTGGCATTCATCCCAGGCTCAGGGCCCCCCGGGATAAGTAGCATGGGTGGAGGTTGGGAAGATAGAAATTAGAGTAGGAGTTTGCTGTCGCCTCTGGTGCTGGGTGAATGAGTGTGTGGGATCCCTGGAGACTCATGCGGGCACCTCATCCCAGTGCTCCACTGATGACCAGGGGGAGACCAAGGTCCTGAAGCTGAAGAACCTGCGGCCCCAGGACTATGCCAGCTACACCTGCCAGGTGTCTGTACGTAACGTGTGCGGCATCCCAGACAAGGCCATCACCTTCCGGCTCACCAACACCACGGGTACAGGCATTTCCCTGCTCATAGCCCCTGACCACCTGGGCTCACTCCCAGCCAGGAGACAGTGCCCTGCCCACACAGGACCCTAGGCACATAACCACTAGTGTCCTGCCCCTTCTCCCCTCTTCCTGCTGCCTGTCTTCTCCCATCTCATCTCCCCCCAGCCCTCATGTTTCCCTAGCTCCCTCATTTCCCTCACATCCAGGGGTCTCACAGTCCCCTAAGAAGCCCCCTTCCGTGTCCTCTTAGCACCACCAGCCCTGAAGCTGTCTGTGAACGAAACTCTGGTGGTGAACCCCGGGGAGAATGTGACGGTGCAGTGCCTGCTGACAGGTGGTGATCCCCTACCCCAGCTGCAGTGGTCCCATGGGCCTGGCCTGCTTCCTCTGGGTGCTCTGGCCCAGGGTGGCACCCTCAGCATCCCTTCAGTGCAGGCCCGGGACTCTGGCTACTACAACTGCACAGCCATCAACAATGTGGGCAACCCTGCCAAGAAGACGGTCAACCTGCTGGTGCGATGTACGTATTTGGTGGGGAGGTAGGGGACAAGATGTGGAAGGGAAGTTGTGAGGCAGCCAGGATTCCTGCCCTCCAGGAGCTACCAATGAATGGGGAAAGAGGCCTGTCGGCTTCTCCTTGGTAGGTGAGGCATACTGAGAGGTGTGTTCCAAGCACTTGGATTTCCCTGCAATTCAGTTGTCTGTCAGCAGATGGCAGAAGGATTAAAATTCATGTAAAGTTTTATTTACAATTTACAAATACGTATTTCCAAATACAACCTCATTTTCCAATATAACCTCAACAACCCAATAAGAAGGAAGGGCTGGAATTGATTACCTACTTTTTTCAGATTGGGAAACTGGGGCTGCAAAAAGTTAAATGTGGACATTCGAGGCTTCAAGAGAAATTTCCTGGTTTTCCCCCATACACTGGTTTCTACATGATTAACTGAATTTGAGTGAAAATAACACTCATTTCCATATACCTAATATGTCAATCTTTTTAAAAATTTTTATAAGTTAGAGACAGAGTCTTGCTGTGTTTCCCAGGCTGGTCTCAAACTCTGGGGTTCAAGTGGTCCTCCTTCCTTAACCTCCCAAAGTCACCATGCTTACCTCCCTCACTTTTTTTCTGCCCCTTCAGAAAAATTTACTAGAAAAACATTTAAGTGAATCTGAAGATAAAAGTGTACAAATGATACAAAACTTGGAGCACAGAAAAGAAATACTTTCCCTACTAAACCTCAGCCTCAATAATTATCATTAACTGCTCAGTCTAATCTTGATTTTGCTATTCTGATTTAAGGAAAAAAACTTAAAAATTTTCTTTGAGTGCAGGTTTAGGATTTTTTTGTTTGTTTTTAAGATCCAGATTTGTTTCCAGCTCTTTAGCAGTTAAAAGTACAGCTTCTGCTAAACTCAGCTGAGAGTCACTGATGACATGAATTCATCTCTCCTGGCCAGTCAGCCTTTCTGACTCTCCTCACGGAAAAGGCTAGCCCTCTGTGACTTCTTACTTAAACAGAACAGGAAGAAAGTTAACAAGATTGTGGCTATCTGATGACTACTTTTTCCTTTGATGTACTTTTCCATCAGAAGATTATTTTTCTCCACCTAATTCTGTTTGGCCTCTAAAGCCTGGGTTGGTGCGATGGTCACCTCTTAGGGTGACTGTACAGCTTGCCTTACACAGCACAGTTCTGGTTTGTGGCTGTTGTACTAGTCCAATAGGTTGGGTAACTGATGAAAAATTCTGTCCAAGCCGGGCTCGGTGGCTCAGTCTGTAATCCCAGCACTTTGAGAGGCTGAAGTGAGTGGATTGCCTGAGGCCGTGGGTTCGAGACCCACCTGGGCAACTTGGTGAGACCGCATCTCTACAATAAAATCAAAAATTAGCTAGGCATGGTAGCGCGCGCCTGTAGTTCCAGCTACTTGGAAGGCTGAGGTGGAAGGATCACCAGAGCCCAGCAGGTAAAGGCTGCGGTGACCAGAAGCGGCCACTGCACTCCAATCTGGGTGACAGAGTGAGACTCTAACTCAAAAAACAAAACAAAACAAAACTCTGTCTAACACTTGGCTTACTTCAAACAAAATCCACATTTTTAAAAGAGGCCACATCCTTTTCCTTCTAAACACTGTGCTTTTATGTAATTGCATGTAAAATAATTGCATTGGTCTTTTATTATAAAAGTTAAACATGCTTGTTACAAAGAGTCAAACAGCATATAAGGGTCAAATGTAAAAATTGAATTACCTGTCAGTTCTCCTCAGTTCCACTCTCTAGATAGAACTGCTATTATACTCCAGTGCATCCTTCCAAATGTGTATTTTGCATATTCATGGTTTAAAACAATGATAAAAATAAAGCAGCATAGTGGTCAAGAGCACAGACTCTGAGTTTGAATTCAAGATTTGTTACTTTTTTGGGCAAGTTACTTATACTTATTTGAACCTCAGTTCTCTCCTCTGTAAAATGGGGACAGTAAAGCACCCCCCTCAAAGATATTGGAACAGGTTAAATGAGTAAATCCATGTCGAGTGCTTAGAACGTGCCTCTCACATGGTGCATGTTCAGTTATGACCAAACTGCTTTTCTGCGGTGAGCTTTTTTGAACTTTCAAAAAAGCTAGCAAGCAGAACAATTTCCAAGCAGAGAAGACTGATGGTTTCACCTAGGGGGTTGTAGCCTCCCACCTCCAGGAGGGCCAGTTTGAGGGACAAAGCTGGGTCTGGGTGGGGGCTGGACATGGACCCTGGCTTCAGGCCAGTTTCAGACACCCTTCCCTCCCCACCTGCCTGCAGCCATGAAGAACGCCACGTTCCAGATCACCCCTGACGTGATCAAGGAGAGTGAGAACATACAGCTGGGCCAGGACCTGAAGCTGTCGTGCCATGTGGATGCGGTGCCCCAGGAGAAAGTGACCTACCAGTGGTTTAAGAATGGCAAGCCAGCACGCATGTCCAAGCGGCTGCTGGTAACCCGCAACGACCCTGAGTTGCCTGCTGTCACCAGCAGCCTAGAGCTCATTGACCTGCACTTCAGTGACTATGGCACCTACCTGTGCATGGCTTCCTTCCCAGGGGCGCCTGTGCCCGACCTCAGCGTCGAAGTTAACATCTCCTCCGAGACAGGTGGGCAGCTGGAGGGAATGGGGAGGTGTGAGGGAGGCTGAGAGGCCCACAGATGGAAGGTGGGGGTAACAGCTTGGGAAAGAGAGGACAGAGTTGGAGGACACCATGTGTTCATGCTGCACACATTGATTGAGCCTCTATTATATGCCAGGCACTGTGCTAGGTCATGGGGTACAGAGGTGATCACAACAGGATTTTCCCTCGTAGAACTTAGTAGGATGGCAAACATGTCTCAGATGGTCTCACAAACAAATATATCATTGCAAATGGATACATGAGAGTCTGGAAAGAATTCCCTGAGATAGAATGTTTGATCTGAGATCTGAAGGAAGGGCAAGGTCTTCCTAGGCAAAGGAGAGCCAGGGAGGGTTGGGGGAGGAAGAGTGCAGGCCAAGGAGTCAGCATGTGCAAAGGCACCGGGGCAGGAAATGCATTGGCCATTTAGAGAACTGAAGGAAGCAGAACGTGGCTGGGAGAATGAAGTGAGATGGAGTGGAGAGGTGACCAGAGGCCAGATTATGTAAGGTCTTGTTGGCTGTGTTAGTTTGCTGGGACTCCCACACACTGGGAGGCTTAAATAACACATTTATTTTCTCACAGTTCTGGAGGCTAGAAATCTGAGATCAAGGTGTCAGCAGGGTTGGTTTCATCCGAGGCCTCTCCCCTTGGCTTGTGGATGATCATCTCCCCTGCCTGCACGTGGCCTTTATTCTGTACAAGTCTGTGTCCTGATCTCTGTCATGTATATGGACACTAGTCGTATTGGGACAGGGCCCACCCCAACGACCTTATTAGATTTAATTACCTCTTTAAGGGCCTATCTCCAAACACTTGGGGTTAGGACTTTAACATATGAATTTTGGGGGGCAGGGGACACAATTCAACCCATAACATAGGCCATGGTAAGGATTCAAGTCTTTATTCCAATAATAATAAATAACAAGGAAATGACAATGGCTAACATTTACTGAGTGTTTACTATATGTTCTGATGGTTTTATATTTATCTCATTCCCTTTCGTGATTTACTTTATGGGATAGGAGTTTATTTTCTCATTTTATAGCTGAAGAAACTTAGACTCAGAAAGTTTGAGAAATTTACCTAAGGTAATACCATACTAAGTGGTAGAGCTGTGATTTGAACCCAGGCAGTGTGAGTTCAGAGTCTATTCTCAGTCACCCCTGAAGAGTTTACACTGAGAAAGACAGGAGTTTGGAGGGGATCTTTTGGAGAGAGTCTCCAATGTCATGGCTCTAGCTCCAACACCTTGTACAGAAGAGCAGGCTGGCTTTGGTCCTCAAGTACCACAGGACCAGATGCAGCAATGTAATTGATATGAGTATTTCTTCCTTTGGCCCTTCTGCTCTCTGGACCTCAGTTTCTCTCTGTGAGAGATTGGCCCGGGTTGGCCCAGAGGCCCTGTCGGCCCTGACATCTGCACAGGGAACGGCCCTGTGAAACTGGACAGGTCAGGGAAACCTTCTGGAGGAAGATCAGCTTGAGCTGGGCTTAGGAGTAGACCAGAACTCCACAGATTCTGCAAAGTCATTTTGCAAACTGCTTTGTGCCGAGTCTGAGTCCTGGGTGAGGAGTTGGAGAGGCAGACACGAAGGCCACAGCCCTCTCCTCAGAGCTCACTGCCTAGCCGGGAAGTAGACTTGTTGGGGGGAGGAGAGAGGGGAGAGGCAGGAAATGGAAGGGCGAACCTTGGAAATGTGACATGAGAAGTGAAGGAGGAGTCTAGAGCATTCTGGGGAAGCCAGAGAAGGCTTCTCAGGGGAAGCGTGCTTCATGTGAACCTTGGAGGGTGTGTTAACATTTGCCAGGTGGGGGCGGGGGGGGGGGGGTAACAAGCCCAAGAGTGGATACACAAACAGAAGGAATGGGGGAGCACCCAAAAGGGGCTGGAGACTTAGTGTGTCCAGGGAGTGTGTTCTTCATATGTGGATCCCATAGCTGGGACAGGACTGAAGAGGGGAGAGGAGGCCGAGAGTGTAGCAGAGGCCAGAGCATGCGAACCTTTTTTGAGTTTAACCTTGGGGCATTGCAGCCTCAGAGGGAGAGACTGCTCTTTAAGCCTGTGGATGGGGGCAAGGGAGGCTGAGAGTGGGGGATGTAGAAGGGTTGGGAGCTGGAATGTTTTAGAGCCAAGGCAGGGCCCCAGGGCTGTTCCCTCCATTTGGCTCATAGGCCTGATGCCTAGGGCATGGAAGCGTTTTAAGGCCCTGGAAAAATAAATTAATTGGCTCCAAAATACAAAGAGAAAAACTGCATAATCAAAGCCATAATTTATAGAGTATAAATTATACTAACCAGATAACTGGACCTTGGCTTGCTATGTAGAACTATTTACAAATAATAACTTTATATTTAATGCAGGACATGGGTACATTTTAATTTGGTTTGTGTGATACGCAGTGGGACCCATGGAAGTTTTCAAGACCCTCCATTTGGGCAGTGCGTTGAGTGGAATTAGGTTTGACTGTGAATGACAGAGGAAGCCTAATTAATAGTGGTTTCACTGGGCTAGATGTGCATTTCTTCCTCATGGAAAAATCTGCCGGTCAGTAGTTTGGGCCAGTGGAGTGACTATGCGTCCTTAAGGCCCCAGGCGCCAATCTTGCTTCCCTGGCTCTCATTTTTAGCATCTGCCACCTTGTCGATGGTAGAGTTCCAGCTGCAGCCATCATCTGCATCCCCACCTGCAGGAAGGAAGATGAGAGGGACACAGCCTCTTCTTTTAAAAATCCTTGTTTTCCCTCATATTCCATTGACCAGAATTGAGTCATGTGGCCACAGCTGGTTATAGGGCAGGCTGGGAGTTGTAGTCTTTATTCTGGGCGGCTGTGAGCTGGGCTCTGAACCATGTATTCTGTTACTTTGGTAGAAAGGGTAGGTAAGGATGTTGGGGGACAGACTAGCAGCCTGCAATGACACTCTGAAGGCTGTAACTGAGGCAGGGCCAGGGATGGGAGACAGGGGACAGAGAGAGAGAGAGAGAGAGAGAGAGAGAGAGAGAGAGAGAGAGAGAGAGAGAAGAGAGAAGTCTTTAGTAGAAAGGTTTAAGAGGTGGAATTCCCAGTACTTAGTAGTGTTGGGGACGACTTGAGGTCTCTTTTTGAGTTGGGAGGCCCTGAGATAGACACCCACGAGGTGGAGAGGATTTGGGAAGGTGAGTTCTGCTTTGGAGATACTGACAGACGCATGAGAAGTCTGAAACGGGCAGAGAGGCTTGCGCCCAGGGGGAGGTAAGCAGGAGCCCGAGGGCGGAGTGGACGGTGTCTAACTCTAATCCCACCCCTCTGTCGCCGCCTCCTGCAGTGCCGCCCACCATCAGCGTGCCCAAGGGCAGGGCCGTGGTGACTGTGCGCGAGGGCGCGCCTGCCGAGCTGCAGTGTGAGGTGCGGGGCAAGCCGCGGCCGCCCGTGCTCTGGTCACGCGTGGACAAGGAGGCCGCGCTGCTGCCCTCAGGGCTTCCCCTGGAGGAGACTCCGGACGGGAAGCTGCGGCTGGAGCGCGTGAGCCGCGACATGAGCGGGACCTACCGCTGCCAGACGGCGCGCTATAACGGCTTCAATGTGCGCCCCCGGGAGGCCCAGGTGCAGCTGAACGTGCAGTGTGAGTCCCCCGCCCCGTCCGGGGCCCGGCCGGGCTCGACCCCTGTTCACCCCCGCATCTAACCCGGGTCCAACCAAACCCCTCCCCTACTGATCCCCCTAAAACTCCTCGACACCCCCGTGCTCTAAGGCACGGAGGTCTGTGTTCCCTGCTCTACTTCCATGAAGTGTCTGTCCCCTCATCTTTATTTTCAGGGACGCAGCGCACAAAGAATCTGCTTGATTTTGACAGGTGGAAATGGGATTTTGAAGGAGGAAGAGCCCTCCAGGGGAACACACTGTCTGATAACAAAATGATGAAAGCTAACTCACAATGTGCCAAACACTGTTCTAAGCGGGTTTTAATGTGCTAACCCATTTAGCCGCCCGCCGCCCTATGAATAGATTCTATTTCCCCGTTTTTACAAATAGGGAAACAGGACCCAGAGAGGTTAAGTAACTTGCCTAAGGCACAGAGGCAGGGCTGGGAGTTGAACCTGACCCTTCTAGCTCTAGAGAGTTTGCTCTAAACTCCCTTATTGTGCAGTTTTTTCTTATGTGAGGCCCACTCAAGGCGTGGTTAGAGGCCAGGAGGCGACGTGTGAGCGTGAAATTGTATGAATGTGTTGCGAGTGTGCACCTGCCTTGAGATCCGTCCAGGCTAGAGGGGCACGGCAGTCAGGGAGCGAGCGTCGCCTCCCCCGCGGAGGCCACTCCCCAAGCCCCACTCGGTGGGGAGGGGCCCCGCTGACCGCTGCTCCCCGCCCCCAGTTCCGCCGGAGGTGGAACCCAGCTCCCAGGACGTGCGCCAGGCGCTGGGCCGGCCGGTGCTCCTGCGCTGCACGCTGCTGCGAGGCAACCCCCAGCGCATCGCCTCGGCCGTGTGGCGCTTCAGGGGACAGCTGCTGCCACCGCCCCCCGTCGTGCCAGCCGCCGCAGCCGAGACCCCGGACCACGCCGAGCTGCGCCTCGACGCCGTGACCCGTGACAGCAGCGGCAGCTACGAGTGCAGCGTCTCCAACGACGTAGGCTCGGCCGTCTGTCTCTTCCAGGTCTCGGGTGAGCGTCCCGTCGGTCCCGCCCACCCCGTCCACTCCCACCAGGCTCCGCCCATCCCAGGTCTGCCCCGCCTGGCCGGGCCCCCTCCCTCAAAGCCCGCCTACTCCCCGTTTAGGCATGGCCTTTCCAAAGCCCGCCCATGCCAGGTCTAGACCCCGCCCTGTACCGCCCGGATCCAAGCCTCGGCCTCCATGGCCCGCCCCCTCCAGACTCGAGCCTCGCCCCTCCACTTGCGTCCTTTCTTGGTCTAAGCCGTCCCCTTTCAAGGCCCGCCCACGCCCGCCCCACGCCCAGCCCACCATTGCTCAGCAAGTTACAGCCGCACCCCTTTCAAACCCAGCCCTAGGCTCTGCCACTCTATCCCCCTCGGCACCTGGCCTAGCCCCTTCTGCTTAAAGACCCATTCACACCGCATCTAGGCCCCGCCTACATAAGGCCTGGACTCCTCCCCCTTCAGTCTCCTCGGGCCCCAGTTCTGTGCTTCTGGCCGTTCCAGTCGCGGATGTGATCTTTCCCCCCGCCCCCACCCCCACCCCCGGCCTGGCTCACACCAGCGTTAGACCCGCTCAAGCCCTGGTCACCGCCCCGTCTCAGCCATCTCGGTTCAAGCTCCTCTTCCTCCGTCCCGTCCTTGGCTTCAGCCCCCTCGGGCGTGAGCTGTAGCTTGGAGGAGAGAAGACGCCCCTCAACAGCTTCTCTGGGACGTCAGGGTCGGCACTAGGCCAGACAGCACACATTTCCTGGGCTGTCCCCCCACGCCCCTGTCGGTGCCCAGAAATCCTTCTCACCTTCAGCTTCTCATTGAGTCATACCCGGGTGGGCTGTCTGGGGCTTCAGACTGACCGTGAGTGGGTCAGAAAGAGATGGAGCTCGTGGTGGGGACTGAGGGGCTGCCTAGGTTGCCGATGATCCCCCTTTGTTCCTTCCTTTGGTGAGAACCACCTCCTGGCCGCGCCCTTGGAGGAGAGCCCCAGGCGTGTCTGGCCCCCATTCCACCATACCCTGGGCTTTCCCAACATCCTCCAACTGACCGGGTGCTCCTTCAGCTCCTGTTCAGATCCCCCCACTCAACAGCAGAGGGTTAGGACCTCAGGTCCCGGGCCACCTCCCTGGTCCCGGGCCACCTCCCTAGCCCCTCCCCACCACCCAGCCCTGCCAGCCAGAGGCCCCTGTGACATTTCCCACCTCCTTCCCTTCTCCCCTGTTCTCCCCACCTCTCTGCCTCTCTCTGTTCCCCTCCTCTCTCTTTTCTTCCTTTCCTCTCAATATCCCTGACCCTCCTTCGTGTCTTCTTTCCCTGTGTCTTCTCTAATATCCCCCCTCTGTGTCTTCCCGCATTTCTCTCTTCTCTGTCTCTTCCTCGGCCTTTTCTTTCTCTCTTCAATATCGCCTCTGGGAATTTCCAATCTCTCATCTGCATCTCCCACCTCCCCTCCCACCCCATCCTCATCCTCCCTCTTCTTCCAACATCTCCTCTCCTCACAATATTCCCTTTCTCTTTGTTTCTCCCATCCTCTCTCTGTTCCACCCTCATCCTCTTCTCCTTCTCTCTCCCATGCCTCCTCTCTCTGTCTCTCCCTCTCCCCCCACCCTCCACGGCCCCATGCTCCCCTCCCCGCCCTCTTAGCCAAAGCCTACAGCCCGGAGTTTTACTTCGACACCCCCAACCCCACCCGCAGCCACAAGCTGTCCAAGAACTACTCCTACGTGCTGCAGTGGACTCAGAGGGAGCCTGATGCTGTTGACCCTGTGCTCAACTACAGACTCAGTGTCCGCCAGGTGGGCCAAGGGGGAGCTGGGGGCAGGTGGACAGTGCTGTGGCTGCCCTGGGAATGCTCATCAAGGCCCGAGGAAGGGGTTGGAGACAGACGCTCAGTCACCCTGGCCCTCTTCAGAGGCGGGGGAAGTGTTCTGGACATAGAGGTGGGAGAGAGGAGGTTCCAGGGACCTATCTTTTCTGGATCCAGACTCTAGACACAGCCCCGAGAATTGGGCACGCAAGCATCTGCTGGGTTCTTGGGGTAGCCACCATTGCTCCAAGAACACCAGAATCTACTCTTGGGTCAAGAGCTTAAGAAGGCAGGGCGTCAGTCTCATCTGAGGGATCTCTATAATGCGAGACTGGGGTCACTATGCTGTTCTTGTGCCCAGTCTAATTCTGTGTGGTTCTTCCCAGCCTAAGAGGCAGTTGATGGGAGAGTAAGAGTATGGCTCTGGGGCAGACTTCCCAGGCTAGAACGCAGATTTGTTTGAGCTTGGGCCAGCTACATCTCTTTGGCCTCAGTTTCTTTATCTGTAAAATGGAGAAAACTATATTTTATTTTTAATTTTTTGAGTCGTGGTCTCCTCTGTCACCCAGGCTAGGAGTGCAGTGGCATGATCACAGCTTACCACAACCTCAAACTCCTGGGCTTAAACGATCCTCCAACTTCAGCCTCTTGAGCAGCTGGGACTGCAGGCGTGCACCATCACACCCAGCTAATTTTTTGTGTGTGTGTAAAGATGAAGTCTTGCTAAGTTGCCTAGGCTGGTCTTGAACTCCTAGGCTCAGGCAGTCTTTTCGCCTCAGCCTCCCAAAGTGCTGGGATTACAGCCGGGGGTATTTATAATATCCTCCCTCATAGGATTATTATTTTGAGAATTAAGTGAGTTAATAATCTTAAGGCACTTAGAACAGTGCCTAGCACTCATTAATTATTCAATACATATTGCTGTCATCATTGCTATTATTATAAAGATACCGCTGGAAGGTGGACATGGAAGAGGTGATTGTCTGATCTCACAGATGAGGAAACTGAGGGTTGACTTCCTAGTCCTTTGCTCTCTCTGCTTCCCCAAGTCACACTAGGACATGGGCTGGTGTTCCAGGGGAGGGTGTGGGCATCTGGGAACTCCCTGTATTTTCAGCTGAATCAGCACAATGCCATGGTCAAGGCCATCCCAGTACGGCGTGTGGAGAAGGGGCAGTTGCTGGAGTACATCCTGACCGATCTCCGCGTGCCCCACAGTTATGAGATCCGCCTCACACCCTATACCACCTACGGGGCTGGTGACATGGCCTCCCGCATCATCCACTACACAGAGCGTAGGTGATGGTGGTGGTGGCGGCGGCAGCAGGAAGGGTGGGCACATCATCTCCAGGGACCCCCCTCCACCATCCCTACATGGTTCCTGAGCTTGGGGCTCCCCACTGTGTGCTCTCCTACCCTGTCCCTGCAGGCCAGGCCCACTGGCCCCCAGTCCTGGCTCTGAGGATCCTGTCCCTGGTCCTAAGCAGGGCACCCTCTACAGAGCCCCACACCTTGGTTCTGACTTGGTTTCCCTGCTTGCTTTCTCAGCCATCAACTCTCCGAACCTGTCAGGTGAGACTCCACCCTCCCATGACCTCCCCTTCCCTTTAGGGACACAAAGTCTCTCCCAGTGGTAGGAGGAAACCTGGACAAATACTCAGAGAAGAAATGACTTCCCCTGGGTTTCCATGAGCAAGTGGAGAGGGATTCACAGCCCCAAAATGAGAGGTCGGGCTAATCCACATCCCCTGTTGCCTGGGGCAGGGGTTCTTAGTCTGTGATCCATCAACTCCCAAGGGCTTTGTGTATAGAATTAGGGGTTCAGCCTGTAATCCCAGTACTTTGGGAGGCTGAGGTGAGTGGATTGCCTGAGCCCACAGGTTCGAGACCCGCCTGGGCAGCGAGACCTCCTTTCTACAATAAATCAAAAAATCAGCCGGGCGTGGTAGCGCGCACCTGTAGTTCCAGCTACTTGGAAGGCTGAGGCGGAAGGATCGCCGGAGCCCAGTAGGTCGAGGCTGCGGTGGCCGGGAGCGGCCACTGCACTCCAGTCTGGGCGACAGAGTGAGACTCCAACTCAAAAAAAAAAAATTAAAAAAAAAAGAATTAGGGCATCTGTGAACCTAGAAGGGCATGCGGTTATTTTTTTTCTTCGGACTTCTAGCAGATATTTAAGATCCTTTTCAATGGTGTATGTAGACAGGAAGCCACAGTAGTAGAATCAGTACCTGTGACATTGTCAGCAGTAGAAACCCAATGTCACACCACCTCACAGTGTTGCAGAAATCTCTAAATATCATTTCTATTCATTAGTATTCCAGAACTATGGTAGTTATTAGACCTGACACTAGATCTGATCTTGGGATTTAATTAGGTAATAAAGAAGCCCACTTGTACTTTTATAACAAATTAAAAAGTATTTTGACAACTGCATTTCAATAGAATTGATTTTCTCTATAATCCTATATATTTCATTTTATGTGTCTAAAATCATTATTCTGAGATGGGTTTCTTAGGCTTTAGTTGATGCTAGAAGGGTCTGTGGCACAAAAAAGGTTAAGAAGTCTTGTTACTAGAACAAATTTGTTGTGGGCCCCATTGTCTAGTTTCTCAAGCTCTGGAATCTTGGGTCCTTGCTTAGATGCCTGGGAGCTACCTCAAGGGTGGCTGGTGGGGGAGACACTGGACCCAAGGGGCAGAGGAGACTGTCTCACCGTCCCTTCTACTACCCCCCCAATGCAGACAACACCTGTCACTTTGAGGATGAGAAGATCTGTGGCTATACCCAGGACGTGACAGACAACTTTGATTGGACACGGCAGAACGCCCTCACCCAGAACCCCAAGCGTTCCCCTAACACTGGTCCTCCCACGGACATAAGTGGCACCCCAGAGGGTGAGGACATGGCCTGCTGCCGGGAATGGAGGACTGCTTCAAGGAGGGTTCTAGGCCTGGGAGACCCCAGTCTGGGGGTAAAGAGAGACCCAGCCCTGTCCTCAGGGAGCCCCAGTCTGAGGGGAGAGACACAGCCCTGTCCTCAGGGAGCCCCAGTCTGAGGGGAGAGACACAGCCCTGTCCTCAGGGAGCCCCAGTCTGAGGGGAGAGACACAGCCCTGTCCTCAGGGAGCCCCAGTCTGAGGGGAGAGACAGCCCTGTCCTCAGGGAGCCCCAGAATGAGGGGAGAGACCCAGTCCTGTCCTCAGGGAGCCCCAGAATGAGGGAGGAGGAATAGCCATGTCCTCAGGGAGCCCCAGTCTAAGGGGAGACACAGCCCTGTCCTGATAGAAGATCAGAAGGAAACTGTGATAGAGCCAAGAACTCATGAACGCTGACCAGACTCCTTTGTTGTGAGGCAGGGAGGATGGGGTGAAGCACCTGGGATTCAGACAGCTGAAGGTTAGGCACGGAAGGAGTTGGGGGGAGGAAAGAGGCTTGGGTGGGTGGGGAGGAGCCTGCTGGTGCATTCCCCCCACCCCTGCAGGCTACTACATGTTCATCGAGACATCCAGGCCCCGGGAGCTGGGGGACCGCGCGAGGTTGGTGAGTCCCCTCTACAATGCCAGCGCCAAGTTCTACTGTGTCTCCTTCTTCTACCACATGTACGGGAAGCACATTGGTGAGTTGGGACCAGGGCATCTGACTGAGCACGTGCCGGTTGGGGAAGGGAGTGGGGGAGCCACAGGACGCCAGGCGCTGGCCCACTGGAGGCCTGAGCTTCTCAACTTGGCTAAGGCACAGGTCCCTGGAGGGGGTATAAACAGAAGTTTGGCAAGGAGAGACGTCAAATGCCAGCTTGTCCGAGATTGTGAGACGATCAAGGTCTCGCGCGTCTGCAAACAGAAAGGCTCTAGCAGGATGGGATGGAAGGGAAGAGAGGATGGAGAAAGCTACTCTGAGGGGCACACATTGTGCCTGACAGGGCCCATGGGATGTCCTGGGTGCACTGCATCCCCGGTCTCGTTAACCCTCACAGCCACCAAGTGAGGGAAGTGTGACTAAGCACTTGCCCAAGACCACACAGCAACCCAGGTCTATCTGACTTCCCCAAGACCTGAACATGGGATAGGAAGGGTGCTGCTTTGTGAGTGGTGAGAGGAAGTCCTGCTTCCCTAGTGTGGGAGTGAACTTCTGGCACTGGCAGGAGTGTGAGGTTCATCACTGAACGCACCCATTCAGTCATCACTTCAGAGCTCCTGCTCTGTCCTGGGTCCCAGGTGCCACAGTGAGTAAGATGGATGAGATCCCAGGAAAGTGTGAGAGGCATTAAACAGCCAGCGGTGCCATCTAGGAGTTTGTGCCCCCGTGGCAATGGAAGGACAGGGGCCAGGACAGCCAGTAACAAAGAGACCTATGGACTCTGGGGGCATGGTCATGGAGGCTGCTGAGGAAGTGACAGTTTTTTGTAACTTGGTTTGTTTACTTATTTATGAGAAAAGTAACATTTCACAGGGGTAAAAAGTGCGTAATGGAAGTCCTCTTCCATGCCTGTCCTGCCATCTAGAGCCCTTCCCCAGAGGGGATCAGTAGACTAGATTCTGGGGCAAATTTCCGGAAATACTTGATGTGCATAGAAGCCGGTGCGTATATAGGTATATTTTGTTTCCTCCCCTTTTGCACCCTGTTCTGCACTTGCCTTTTCCCTCTGGACTTCTTAGCGCTGGCTCCTTCTCAGTGTGCAAAAAGCTCCTGGGTTGTTCTCAGCTGCTCAGTAGAGGGATTGACTTTAAGCAGGTATAGACTGAAGTCCTCTCGTGGAGAAGCCTCCACAGCTAGTGTGACAGATCGGGCTGAACCACTGGGTGAGCAGGGAGTGGAATGGAATGTTCTGCATCCATGGAGGCCCCCAAACTGTTCACACAGTCCAGTCTGCCTACAGCTAGGTCTGGACTCCATAAGAGGCTTCCTCTGGGGAACAACTGGTTACTATCTCCAGCTCAGTAGGGACACTGTAGTCCAGTAAGGCCCTGGAGAGAGAAAGCCCGAGGGGGCAGGCTGTCTGACAGACCTTGCTCTGGGCTTCCCAGGGGGTAGAACTAACTTGAGACCATGAACGCTTGTGTGAGGCAGATTTGATTTCCACCTGGGAAAGAGCCTGGAAGCATCTGCTCTGCCCAGCATGGGAGTGGGCTATCTTGGAAGATGGTGAGTGTCCTGTACAGATCACATTTCTCCTCTGCTGGGTCTCCTCAGAGGCTTGCTGTCATCGCCACCCTCTCTTGGCTGTCCATACCTGATCTGGACCCTGTCTGCATCTCTTGGCTCCCACCCGGCTCCACCACACGATTCTCCTGGCATTCCTTTAAAGGCTGAAAGCATGGCTGGGTATGGTGTCTCACACCTGTAATCCCAGCGCTTTGGGAGGCTGAGGCAGGAGGATTGCTTGAGCCCAGGAGATAGAGACAAGCCTGGGGAGCACAGTGAGACCTCGTCTCTACAAAATATTAAAAATATTAGCCAGACATGGTGGACAGGAGTTTGAGGCTGCAATGAGCCATGATTGTGCGACTGCACTTCAGCCTGCGTGACAGAGTGAGACTCCAACTCAAATAAATAAATAAACAAATAAGTAAATAAATAAAAATAAAGACTTGAGACAGGGTCCTGCCTTAGGGGGCTTTGTGATGTTCCCCTAGCCTTGGACCATTTTTCCTTCCCTCAAGGAGCCCCATGTAAAAGAGCTCTCTATTCTTTTCACTGCATTATTTTCTTTGTGGGGCTAACCACCAATAGTACACAAGCTCCATGAGGGCAGGGGTCTTTGACTTCTTCTAGTGCTTAGAACAGAATCTGGTACATAGTGGTGCTCAGTTAGTCAAGTGAGTGAGTGAATGAGAGCGGGGTTTGGGCTTTATGCATTCTGGGATGGCTTCCAACCCCGGGAGTTTAGGAAAGTTTTTGATGACAGTCATGGAAAATTCTTCATACAGTTTGACTATTGAGAACTGATAGGAATTTGACACAGCGCTTCCCTCAAGGAGTCAGATAGGGAGGAGATGATGTGGATCCCAATGACTGTCATCCTACTGAGCAGAGACTACTCAGTTCATAACTGAGCGGGTTATGAACTCAGAGTTCACAGGAAGGATAGAGGGCTCCCAGCTCAAACCTAGGAAGACTCTGGAGGAGGTGGTTTCAGACAGGCCTTGAAGAATGGCAGGGGTTTGACCAGAGGAATGTGGTAGGGGAGTGCATCTCAAGCAGGAACAGCCTGAGGAAAAGCCCAGAGACTGGAAAGCGGGAGTGTATCCAGGCACCAGCATGTAGTTGCATTCGACTTTGGAGGTGGCAAGGAAAACATAGGAGAATGCAGTGAGCAGGCCTGCTCTTAAGGGAAGTTGAGGGCCTTGGGCTGTGGCTGATCCCTGTGAAGGGATATCAGGGATCTCCTGAGCAGAGAGGACCTTGGAGCTCAGGGCATGCTGAGGGGAGGGGACATAAGTTCGATTTGTGTTTGGTCAGTAAAAAGCATGGTTTCCATTGGGTCCCTTGGGCAGCATAGTTGGGGAGGAAAAAGTCGTATGATGATTGAAGCTAGACCCCAGAGGGATGGGGACAAGGGGCTGATCTTTTTTTTTTTTTTTTTGAGTTGGAGTCTCACTCTGTCACCCAGACTGGAGTGCAGTGGCCGCTCCCAGCCATCACAGCCTCGACCTGCCAGGCTACGGCGATCCTTCTGCCTCAGCCTTCCAAGTAGCTGGAACTACAGGCGTGCGCTACCACGCCCGGCTAATTTTTTGATTTATTGTAGAGATGAGGTTTCGCCAAGTTGCCCAGGCGAGTCTCGAACCCGCGGGCTCAGGCAATCCACTCATCTCGGCCTCCCGAAGCGCAGGATTACAGGCTGAGCCACCAAGCCGGCTGGGGCTGATCTTTTAGAGGGGAAGGTAGAGTGGATTCCTAGGGGCTTATGTCACTGGGGCTTGCGCCCTGCCAAAACCAGGCGGTACCTCCTGGTCTACCAGCTGCTGGCTGCAGCCCTCCTAAGGGCCCTTCTCCTGTGGGTGAGAGTGCTCCATGTGCCTTGAACTTTCTATGTGCTCCTCAGACCTGGCTCTGCTGCTGGGGAGGGGGTGTTTCTTGCTGCCCTGGTCCCTCCTTTCCCCTCCCCTCCCACCCTGCCTGGCAGCTTTGGATAACAGCTGTCCCCAAACCTTGTGTCTTGCTGACTCTCTTTGGTCCAAGCCAACTCCTTTCATCCCAGGCAGGTAACATTTGGTGGCTCTCCCCCACCAGGGGGTCTATCTTTCTGGTGTCACAGATGGTGCGGCTTTGTCTGTGGGTAGTGCCATGGAAATGCCAGCCACCAGGCACCATCTAAGATTGATTCCCCTTCCTCCGAGCCAGGTATTTTATGTCACTGGGAGCTTGAGGTGGACTGGAAGGGACAGGGAAGGGGCATTGACATTGTCAGGGTGACCTGAGCCAAGCTGTGACCTCCCTCTGGTGCCCCTCAGCACCCCCAGAATTCTAAGCCCCTGTAACTGTAAGGAAATGGGCACTGCAAGCCCAGGCTCATGGCTCTAAGCCCTCCCTCTCTGTGTTTACCACAGCTATGGAGCACATGTGTGAGTATCTTTCCTTAAATCAACTCGCTTTTTTTCTTCTTCAAACTTTGTCTTAAGTGTCAGTATTGGAGAAATCCTGAGTTTGGAGGGCTGGCTTTATTCACCACCTAAAACATGCAAATAGGTATTTAAAAATTTAAAATCCCTGTATCTACCTCCAGAAATCATGCCCTGCCAAGGAGACACATTGTGCTCTTTGAGAATCCTGCTCTGTGCTCAGGTGTGGGCCCCCTGCCTGCCCTGGGACAACTCCTGTCTAGAGGGGAAGGGTGATGTGCATGTGTGCGTGCGTGTGTGTGTGTGTGCCTGCGTGTGTACGTGTGTACGTGTGTGTGTGTTCAGGGCTGAGGGGTTAGGAGGCAAGGAAAGACACAGCAGAAAATGTGCAGGTCTTCCTGATGAACTGAGTCCTACTACTGTTCTCTCTTTCCCACACTGAGGGTCTCTCTACAGGAATGAGATGTTGAACCCATGTGGGGATGAGAGGAGTCCTGCCAGCAGGGACAGTGCTGCGGGGAGTGGAGGGAGGGAGGGTTTGGTGAGTGCACACAGGTAGAGGCACCCTGGCCAGACCTCACTGTCCCCTGTCTTCACACCACCCCCCAGGCTCCCTCAACCTCCTGGTGCGGTCCCGGAACAAAGGGGCTCTGGACATGCACGCCTGGTCCCTCAGTGGCAATAAGGGCAATGTGTGGCAGCAGGCCCATGTACCCATCAGCCCCAGTGGGCCCTTCCAGGTGAGTCTACTGCTCCCAGAGGGACCTCCCAGGTGTGGATGCTTGCTCTGGCCCCAGAAGCACTTGACCCTGTGCTTGTTCCTGGGGGCTGAGGAGGAAAACAGGCAGAGTACGGGGACTTCCGGGTAGATTGAAGGGAGGGGTGGGGACTCTCTGGTGCCCGGCAGAATCCCCCCAACCCCTGCTCCATGCTCTCTGACTCTACCCCAGATTATTTTTGAGGGGGTTCGAGGCTCGGGCTACCTGGGGGATATTGCCATAGATGACGTCACGCTGAAGAAGGGAGAGTGTCCCCGGAAGCAGATGGATCCCAATAAAGGTGCAAGACGGGAAAGGGGTGGGGGAACCACGTCTGGGAGGGCTTTGTGGGTGGGCTCCTGTCTGTTGGGGGAGGGTGCTTGTGTCTGAAGGGAGTTTAGAATACCCACGTGATGGGAATCATGTGTCTGGGACTGTGTGGACACATGCTCACTTGGGCTCCACCCTGACTCGGGCTGTGGGACATCCGGACGACAGTGAGAAGCCCTGTGCCCCGCCTTCCTCATGTGCTTACTGAGTTATTTATAGTATCAGAATGCCTCCTGTGCCTGGGTCTGAATACATCCGTGTGTCTGTGGCTCCAGATATAAATGTGGCCTCCTGGGGCCAGTTGTTTCCAATACTAGCAGCTCCAGTTTACTGAGTGGTTGCTATGTACCAGGCAAGGCACTAGCCTTGCTTAACTAAGGCACTATATGCTTAGTTAAGCATGCGTATATAGTATACCTGTATATGCATGTTTCACTTAATCTTGATAGCAGTCCTTTGGGTTAGCTTACATGGTTAGACCCATTTTACAAATGAGGAAGCTGAGGCCCACGAAGGCCAATTAAATTGCTCTGTGTCTTAGTGAGTCTGAACCCCTGCAGGCCGAGTTAACCTCCACACCATACCACCTCACTCCTGTGTTACAAGTGTGTCCGCGTGTGTTGAGGGCCCCCACATAGGTGGGACAGAGTACACAGGACCCTGTCCTGGCCAACCTGCCTGCCACCGCCTGCCCCCGCCAGAGCTGACCAGAGCCCTGGCCTATCTCCTCTCTCTCTCTCCCATCACAGTGGTGGTGATGCCGGGCAGCAGAGCACCCCGCCAGTCCAGCCTGCAGCTGTGGGGGCCCATGGCCATCTTCCTCTTGGCATTGCAGAGATGATGAGAACTGCGTGCCCCCCCCACCCTGCCCCCGGCACACCAAAGTGTCCACATTGTACCAAAGACTGACCCCCGCCAGCCGGGGTGACCAGGGGCAGGGCCTGCCCGCCAGGGAGGGGGCCTGCTTTGACTGCGAGGAGAAACAGAGAACAAGGACAGAGGCCATCACTGAGGCCCTAGAGACGGCTGTTCAACACACGCACACATGCATACACTCACGCTCTCACACACAGATATATTAAAGCACAAGTTTCTATCCGACCTGCCAGCACCTTCTTTACTGCGAAGACAGAGGACTTTCCTGAACGGCGTCCGCCCACCCGGAGACCTCGGCGCAACGTAGGCCTTGTCCTGGTGGCCCTTGCGGTGTGTTTCTGACTTTCCCCCGTCCCTTAATTCAAGGCCGAACTCCAGTCCAGTGACTTTGCCAGAAGGCAGCAGAAGTGGGACAAACACGGGAGCCCCTCCCTTGGCCAGACTCTGGGACTCCTGGGATGGGGGTGGCAGGGGTCAGAGGAGGGCTGGGCAGGATCTTGCAAGCTCTGTGACTGTCCTGTGTCCAGGAGATGACGAGGAAGGATGGGCTGCTGCTACATGCAACGATGTCCCAGAGAGAGGGCTGGATGATGGAGACCCCAGGTGACCCCAGATCCCACAACCTATCTCTGGGACATGATGCTCCCCTCTTCAGTGTGCTCCCTTTGAAGGGACTGGGTCTTGGCCCTGGGCAGTCTGATGACTGATGCCTTCCCCACCCACCCTTGCTAGCGGCTGGACTCCTGAGAGCACAGTTGCCACCCTAAACTCCGCCCCCAGTTGGGTCTCAGAGAAGCTGGAGGAGTGTTGGCCAGGCTATTTTCTGGGGTGAGGCTTGACTGTGAGAGAGGCAGAAGGGAAATTCTGCTTCTGGGATTTTGTGCCCCCGTTTGGGAATGGAGTGGTACCATTTTGTACACACTTGGCATGAAAGAGTGTCCTGGATAGGAAAGGGTGTGCAGAGGAAGGCACCACACTGCACTGTCTGGTTGGCTGTTTTCTTATCTACCTGGAGGCAGTGAAGGAGGAGGGGTTTGTAGAGCTGGAGCTGGTGGGTGGGACCATTGCCGTTCCCCTTGCTGGAGCTGTGACAGGGCTCCCTGTTCTTGGGTCCTGGCTTGGAAGCTTGATATTAATGTGATGGGATCTAGATCTCTCCTCTTCAGTGTCACCCCTGAGCCCCCCACCCAGCCATCTATGGGAGAGAGGAGGCCCAGCCCTTCCAGGATGAGTCTTTATGCATGAGTGAGTGAGTGCATGTGGCATGTGTGTGTGTGTGTATGTGTGTGGAGTGTACTCATCGATGTCTGTGTACCACTGTGGGTACATTGCTGGCCAGGAGTATGTGCAATTTGGGTCTGTGTGTGCAGTAACACGTGTCTGTGGGGCTGGGTCACCACCCTGTCTCCATGCCTGTGTACATCAGTGTGCGTGACCGTCTTCCTGAGTGACGTGTGTTTGTGGGGTGCTGGCCCAATAGACCACTTCTAGTAGTTTCTAGCTGCCTGCAGTGGCCTGAAATTTCACCTCTCATCCCCTGTGTATGACAAAGAGCTGACAGATGACCCTACCGAATGCAAGCACCTTTGGTGGGGGGTGTCACGGGGCTCTTCCTGGAGCATTTGGTGGGGACAGCTGCAAAAACAAGGCCTGGAACGCAGGAAGCACTGTGGTGCCAGGAGGCAGGCGGGGAACCAAGGCAGACACCGCCCACCTCGCTCTGCCAGGCCTGTGCTATCATCATCACCAACAGCTGCCAGGTGGCCCGGCCAGGCTGCAGTGGGGCCTCCCGATCCCCGATCAGCACGGCTGCTTTCCTGGCCCAGTCGAGGCCTCCGTCTGAAACGAGTTGCTCCAGGTTCCCAGCACACGCTTCCATGGCGTCTGCCGGGTATTGTTCCTTAATTGTCCCATCTGTGCAGAGTCTGTTGCCCCCAACTAGACTGTGAGCTCCTCCTCTAAGCCTTCCAAGCCCTCTCCCCCACCTCCCACTCCTGCCTGGCACAAGTGAGCCTGGTATGGAAACCGGTGGAACAGATCCTGTGAATCCACGGGTTCCCAGCCCTGGCTGCAGAGTAGAACCCCCAGGGAGTTCTGGGAAAAGCATTGCTACTTGGGTCCCACCCCAGAGGTTCTGATTTAATTGGACTGGAGCGCAGCCTGGCATCAGAAACGTTGAAAAGCTCCTCAGGAGAACCCAAGAGCGGGAACCACTGGCCTGTGACCTGAGTGCTTCCTTTGTGCCCTCGCTGGGGAAGGCGTGGGAGCACCAGAGATGAGTAGTCCCATGTGCTTCCTTCTGGGGCTCTCATGGTGCCCTCTGCCCGTGTCCCTCAGATGACCTTCCAGTACATCTGCCCCCACCCTCACTGCTCCGCCAGAGGACTTGTCTCCCTCATTTGCCTCTGTATCTGCTGAGCCTGACACAGAAATGTGCTCGGTACATGCTGGCTGAGCTGAACCGCACACTTGTGGTCCCAGTGCCTGGTCTTTCTGGACAGAGGATGCCAGGTGGGGGAGTGGCAGGGAGAGCTGCTGGAGGTCTCAGTGGGTGGGGGTGCTCTGCCTTGAGGGCGGCTTGACCTGGGAAGGACAAACTGTGTCTGCTGAGATGCCGAGATCCTCGTGTGAAGGGGTGAGGTTGACGTGCGTTGCTGGCAGGTGTGTGGGGGATGCGGGTGTCAGTGTGTGCTGGCCAGGTGGCATGAGTGTCTAGGCACATGCCAGGCTGTATCTGTTTGTGTGTGCCTCAGTGGGTCTACAAGGAATGATTGTCTTTGTGAACCCCTGGGCGACTTGCGTGTCAGCGTTTGTGTCTGTGTGCCTGTGCGTCAGCATCTCTGTCTTGGTGTTGCTTGTTATGTGTGTCTTTGTGTGTTGATGTCTGTGTGTTGGTGGGTGGCCCGTGGATACCCCAGCCCAGGGGAGACCAGGCTGGCTGGATCCAGCGCATCTCCCCAGTGGCAGCCTCGCCCTCTGGGTCAGGGTGACTGAGGCATTTTGTGGCCTTAAAAAGGGGAGTTCAGGGTCAGCCCTCAGGGTGTTGGGGCCCTTCCACCCCTGTTCCTTTCTTGTTGATGTCTGGGGGAGAAAGGGTCTCCTGGGACTAGGTGCTGTATAGCAGTTGATGGAGTCTCAGCTTCACTGTCCTGCCCCTGTGGCCACAGACAGCTTCCCAGGGTGCTGAGTTAACTCTCAAGGCCACCTCCCCTTTGCAGTGCTCCTCCCACTTCTGTCCTCTCTGGAATGGGCCCGACATCCCTTCTCATTCAGTCTCCTTTCCCGAGCTCTGGGAAAGTGGCTCAGGCTGTCCAAGTGAGGCTGGGCCTCAGAAGTTCAAACCCCTCGTGGAGCAGACAAGCTGAAGACCAGGGTGGAGAAGGGACTGGCCCAGGGTCACACAGCCAGTTTGGGTGGAGCCAGCCTTGGAAGCCAGGTTCTGCAGCCCTGGGCTTGTCACACCACTGGCCACTGTCCCGGACAGCCAGAGGGAGCTTGATAAAGCTGCCCTGTCTCCAGGGTAGAGGTGTAACAGATGTTGCTGGGATCCTGCACTGGAAGACGTACTGGTTTCCTGCCTCCAATTCTGGCCTCTCAGCCCAGGGCACAGACCCTGCTGCCCCATGGCAGGCCTGGGTGCCACACAGAGGTGGCCGCCCTCTGCCCACAGCGGCTATAGATACTGCCCTTCTCTTAGACCCCCAGATAGAAGAGACCCTGTTTCCCCTCCCCTCCCCTCCCTTCTGTCTTCACAGGAGCCTGGGCCAGGAATGAAGGTTAGCCTGGCTTCATGTCCCCTTCCTAAGGACCAGCAGGGCTGGGGCTGGTGGGTGCAGAATCCCTGTGTTTCCTTCTCCCTGGACAGTTTAGGGGAAGGGCAGTGGCATTCCCAGGGTCTGTCCCCGGGAATGGGATGGCAAGCCTGCTCTGGAGAGTCTTTGTGGAGCCACGGATGAGGCTGGGTTCTGGGTTCAGGGGAGCCCTTCATGCTTCCAAAGGTGAGGAAGCACCCTCCCCTCTGTTCCCCTCTGTTAAGTCAGTGGTGTGTGTGTGTTTGAGGGTGTGTGGGTAGTGTGTGTGTGTGTGTTTGTGTATTGGGGCAGAAGGACCACTCTTTCCTGGGGATCCCTTGACCCTTAGAGCTGGAGGGACCTTAGGGGTCATATAAGCCGGTGTCTTCTTGTCCAAGTGAGGTCCAGAGAAATGGCATTTGTCCACCCAGTCCCTTGCCCTCATATCACCTGCATTCATTTCCCAGGGACCCTACTAGGGATGCCCTCTCTCCTAGCGCCTTCCCACCCTCCTCCCAGCTGCCCGCATAATCCACCACCTCAGCCCAACTCTGCTGGCTCCGCCGCCTTGGCCCCAGTGGTCTCCATGCATCCTTCCTGCCCCAGGGTGGCCAGCTCACCAAGGCCTTTATCCCGAGTGCAGGAAAAGGAGCAGGTAAGGAAGGGGCTGTTCCAGCCCTGAGGCCTCAAAGACTTGGGAGAAAAGCCAAAACCCTTCGTGTCCAGGCTCACACATCTGACCACCCCAGCCCTCCCCACCACCAAGGTAAAAGCACAACAGGAGACCCCTTATTAATGGGTGAAATGTATTGGGGTTGTTTTTTTAGTCACACAACCCCATCCTCACCCCTTTGCCTTGCTCTCTGTCTCCACCCAGCGCTGTTTCCCGTTTGCCCCTCTCTCACCCCCAAGCCCCCACATGTAACCTCTAGTTGCGGACGCGGTTGTTCAATCAATAAAGCTGCAGTGTTCTAGCTCTTGGGATCAGGCTGTGTGTGTTGGCCAGACAGGTGGGAGAAGCAGGCAGATTGGGCCAGGACTGGGGTGGGACCCTGGTGGGGGCTCCTCTCAGCTCCCTGGGGTGGCCTTTCTTCTCTTCGGCACTTGTCAATAGGGATCCAGCTCTGAGGCCTGGATAGTGGAGACCTGTGTCCTGGTCTGCTCCCCATTGAACTTGATGTCCTTATTCATTTGTTCATTCCATGAATATCAACCAAATACTGCTTTTGTGGGAGCTCCCGTTTAATAGGGAGATGGACATTAAGTTAATAATTACTCCAAGAAGTGCTGTATATAATTATGCATACAGTCAGGGCCGTGAAGGAATTTAGTGCTATGAAAGAAGCTAAGAGGAAGGCTCTTGTTTGGTTTAGGGCTTCATGGAAGACTTCCCTAAAGAGACATTTAGGAGAGATGGAAAGAATGGAGTTAGCC